GGTATAATGAGATGGCAATTTTGGTTTCAAAAGAATGTGATTAGCTCCTAATGACTGCCACAATTCCCTGGTCAATCTACTGTAACCAGCTGCTAATGTAAAAATAATGCCCCTCGCCTGGCTCACTTCGAAGATGGAGATGAGTCTCTCTTTCATACTTTTTTGCCCCCTCGTATTTTTTTCCTCCAAGAGATTATCCCCTGTTAGATTGCAGCTCCCTAAAAAGGAAAATGGATGTGTGATCAAAGTCTGCCGATTAGGGGGGTCATTCAGGGTCATTACGGCTCACTCCTGGGTGCGCGGCTCTGTTAGACCTTCCTCTCCTGCCTTTGTCACCATTGTCACAGCTCCCAGCCTCCAAACTGTCCCCCAGCCCCTGCTGGGGCTGTGACAGCATCCTGAATGTCTTCCCGTGGAGAAGGCCATTCATCACAGGTGTTTTGTTTAGGATTTTTCAAAAAGCTATCTGCATGCTGGGTGCATCCTGAAAAGCATGACCTGGATGCTGAGAGGACTTCCAATTCTGTCATTTAAGGACTCTGGGGGTGGACAGGGACCTTCAGCAAATCTCTGCAGTGTCGCTGGACAGAAAGTGCATGCTTATTCTGTGGGCCCCATGGAGGAGGGCAAAGGCAAATTATGTGGAGACAGAGTGAACAAATCAATGTCCAGTGGGTCTGTTTAAATGTGAGACAGGAAGCTTTATGAGGTAGTGAGCTCTCTGTCACTGAGGGTATCCAAGTGGCAGGTACTATAGATCAGCTTACCAGCTGCCTAGAAGGCAGTTGTAGATGGGAACACAACCAGATGATTTTCAAAGTCACTTATGCCTCTGAGATCCCAGGATCTTTGCCTTCTGAATGGACAGAAGCCACCTCACCCATTGATTTTTGCATCCATCCATCCATTTACTTATTCAAAAGCAGTGATTCAAGCACAGATGGAGTACAAAGCCAGAGTTGGGTTCTGGAGGTACAGACATGAATAAGGTGTCCTTTTCCTGGAGTAATCCATCACCAAGCTGGGAGACAAGACATTCACATTATTAGATGTTGAAGAGTCCATCTAACACTAGAGGAAGTGACTGACTAGCTGGGGGTGCACCGAGGTAGTAGGAGGGTGAATGGGGAAGCCTTCACAAAGAAGAAGATTCTTGAACTGGGTTTTGAAGGATATGCAGAAATTTACCAGGTAGGCTCAGGTGGAAGAGAATTTCAGGCAGAGAGAACAGCTGGTATAAAATTAGTCTCAGAAATCTGAAACACCTGAAATTGTCCATAGCATTGCATTTTGTTCCTTATCATTGGAACATTAATATAAAGGCAAAAAATGAGGCTGCAGAGGCATGTGGGGTGAAGCAATGAAGGATCTTACATTCAAGACTTTGGAATTTATCCTGAAGACAAAGGCAAGGGGAGTAACTGGGTCCTATTCACATTTTAGAAAGATCTCTCTGATAACAGTGGAGAATGGATTGGAGGGGAGAAATCCAAAGCAAGAGAAACCAGTGAGGAGACTCGTGGGAAAGTATTTCTCCAGGTAAATTCACTAGTTGCAAGAACCGTAGCTGCACATTAGAATCACCCACAGAGCTTTGAACACAACCAACACCTGTGTCTCATTGCCAGCGAGACTGATTAACTTGGTCGGAGGTAGTAGGGCCATGGCTTTGGGAGTTTTACAGCTTCCCCAGAGGATTCTAAAGTGCAGCCATAGCAAAACCTTAAGTGAACTCTGTAACCCCAACCCTGGCACATAGTAGGTACTCAACAGATTCTTTCCCCTAGAAAATTAGTATGAAAACATCCAGAGTGTCCTCTTCTTGTCTTCACACCACTTTGGGGTGGATATGATTGGATGAACAGTTGGCTTTTATCCCAGAGTGCTTCAGGCAGAAAATCCACCCCCCAGAATATCAACTTAAATGTTGAGAAGTCCAGTGCTGCCACTGAGACAGACATACCCGCCCTTGCAGAGACCCAGGAGTGGGTATGTCATCCTGGTTACTTGCCCAAAACAGCTGGCACTACCTGCCTGTGGCAGGAGAACGAGACCAAGCACTGGAATCCGACTTCTAAGAGTTACATGCAAAAGCAGGAACCACTTGCAGTCTTGAGATGACCTCTGCTGGTGGCGGGAGGGATGCAGGGTGATGGTCATTGATAGGAGCAAGAAGAGGAGGAGGGAAAGGAGAAGGAGAAGGGAGACAAGCCCTCCACTTGTAAAATAAGCATTTCTTATCTCCACAGCATTTGGTCACACTGAGATTTAAGGCAGGGATTGGTGCCCAGGGCCTAACTACTCTTTTGCTTCTCCTCCAGGATGCCTGTCTAAAGGGCTTCTGCCACACACAAAATTCTGACCTACTGATAGCTGGGAAGATACTCTATTACCCCAACCGAAAACCCTGGGGAAGCTAAGTCGGAGAACATGGGTTAGTCAGGAAACCCAGGCAAGGACCTCCCACCCTATCTCCATTCCACCTGGAATGGGCATTAATTCTACCTGCCCAACTACTGCATAGTTGAGGATCATGGTCATGCTTCTAGAACAAAGGCCAGCCAAGTACAGCCATAGGCTAAATCCAACACCTGGTTTTGTAAATTAAAGTTTTATTGGAACACAGCCATTCCCATTTGTTTGCATTTCATCTGCGACTGCTTTTACTCTGCAGCAGTGGAGTTGAGTAGAAGCAGTTACAACAGAGATTGTATGGCTTACAAAGCCCAAATCACCTACTATCTGGCCCATTATAGAAAAAGTTGGCCAACCTCTGCTCTAGAAAAGGACCCATCCAGGTTGGCTTAGCACATGGGAGACTGGAAGCAAGAAAGAGGGCATGGTGCATGGGCTGGGTTTTAATAGACAGTGGTCCTGCCTGCCTGTCAAATGTGACCTGCCGAATGGCTAAATTTCTGACCAATCGGGTTACAGATTCCTCCTTGCTTAGGATGGACCTAGCAAGGAATGGGCAAAGGCAAGGCTGGCATATTAAGATGAGTGGCCACTCTTTCCCCTGCACTGCTGACAGGGACCTGTGTAGACTGAAGATGTTGCAAATTCTGTCCCAGAAGCAGTGCAAGGGCCACAAGCAGGGCATTCAGCCTTTTCTACCAGACGCAGGGTGGGAACAGAAGTCAAAATGTGGCCTGACCTTCATACTTCTGAAGCTTCCCTAAAGCAGTCCCCGCTCTCTTGATTGCTCAGCACCCTTCTCTTTAAGATAACTCACTATACCCACCCGTGTGTTTCCATAACACTTGGATCATAACTCTAAATCATTCCATGTGTTTGCTCACTTGTCTGTCTCCTCTGAAACTAATGACTCCCCATCTTTTCCTTTCCCCAAACTCTGACTCTGAGCCTCTTTGTCCAACTTCCTACTCAACATCTCAGCTTGGATGTCAAATAGTCTCAAACATGCTGCTGCTGCTACTGATATTGTTTTGTATGTGTTAGGAAGCACATAGTACTCAACAAGTGCTAGGCACTGTTCTAAGTACTTGATGTACCCAAAACACAACACGTAATTCCTGCCTCCCCAATGCTGTTTCTCCCCATCCTGTTTCTTCTCCATCTCAGTAAATGACGTGACTCTTCACTCAGTCCTTCAAGCCAGCAATCTGGGTGTCAGCCTTCATCCCTCTCTTTCATTCATAGTCCATGTTTACAGTAGATGTGTTGTGACCTGCCCCTATGTCCCCTCTACACTCATTGTTCCCAGTGCATGCCTCCTGGAAGCACCTGTGGCTTTTTGCCTGAGCACTTCCTCAACACAAAAGAATGTGCACAGCTTGCCTACAGAGCATGACAGTGTTCAGAGTGTTCCTAAGAGTTGTCCTCAACTACTGATAGATGGAAATTGGTGGATAAACACCCCAGCTCCCTTCTCCCTCTGGTGGGGCATGAAATGGGCCATGGGATTGAGCCCCAGCTACACACATGGGTAACCTGCTTGCTGATTTACCCTATGTTGACTTTCTTCCCTTGATTGTCTCACTTCCCCAACTTTCAAACCCATACTTCTTAGGATTGTTGCCCAAATACAGTCTCATATTTAGATCCTTGTTTTTTTCTAAAGCAGTGAGCCTACTTTAGAGAGAACCAAAATCTACAATATTCAACTGAAAATAATCGTTTCTCACCACATCCACTGCCACCATCCTGGTACAAGGGTCCAAGGTACCATCCTCTCTTTCCTGGACTATTGATCTCCCCACCTCCTTTCTAGGCCTCCTAGAGCCTGTATTTTAAACATGAGCCAGAATGTACATTGTAAAACGTAAGTCAGATCAGGTGACTCCCCTGCTCACAATCCCCTGATGGTTTCCAGTCACCATTAGAATTAACACCCAACTGGTTACCAGGGGCCTCAATGCCCCCTCTAATCTGAACTCCCTCAGCCTCTCCAGGTGCTTGTCACTGCCCTCCCCTGCCTCACCCTTGACTGTGGTCATTTGGTTGCCACCATTGCATCTGCTGTTCCCTCTGTCTAGAAAGTGCCTCCTGCATTGCTTGGGATGAGTAGCTTATTCACACCATTAAGGAATTAGCTTAAATTTTACGTTCTCAGAGAAGGCCTCCCAGACTGTATAATCTGAAATAATCCTAGCCCTCCATCACTATCCCTTCATCCTCTCCCTGTTGATTCGAAGCTCAAGGGGCACTTTGTTTATTTCTCTGCGTCCTGAGTACATAGAATGGTGCCAAACACATATTAGGGACCCGATAAATGTCTGTTGAATGAATGAATGACTCCCCTACTGGACCAGATCTGGGCTCATGGCACACAGAAGACATCAATAGCATCTGAGTTAAGGAAGGACTGAATAAGGCCATGGAGGGGCCTGGTCTGTGTTCTCCCCAGGCCCCATCCAAGACCACGCTCCTCTATGCTGAGTAACCCATCACAGCGGGTGTCATTTCCCCTGCTGACTCACCTTTACCTGGCTAGAGCTCCTGTCTCGGGCCATTCTAACCACCCTGTCCTTTCTTTGTAGGCTTTACCGGAGGGGCAGACAGCTTCGTGGGACACAGCCAAAGAAGATGAAAATCGCAATAAGAATCGATACGGAAACATCATATCCTGTAAGTGCCCTTCTGAGAGGTTTTGAGGACACAGGGAAACCAAAACTATTACTATTATTTACCAAGAATGTATTATCCTATAATCCTTGATGTCTCTACCTTTGGGTCAACATGCTAGGCCAAGAGCTGTAGTTCAGCCTCCCTGTCGTACCTGGCCTGGGTGACAGAGCATGGCTGACCTCTGCCACAGGAGGCAGGTGGGAAGCTGGGTCCCAGCGGAGAAGATCTGGGACATTTCTGAAAGCTGGGCCTTTGCCTGGCCTTGCCCGCAGTACAAGAATTTTTCAGGTTGAGGAGGAAACCCGGCCAAAAGGAATTCTTTATGGTCCTAATAGTTCCTCTGAAATAGAGAACTTCTGGAGAAGTGACTCAGGATAGGGAGCAAGGTCCAGCCCATGAGGGAGAGGCCAAGAACACCCAGGCAAGAGCACACAGTGACTCTAAGAAGGCAGAGTCCGAGGCAAGGATGGATGCCCAGAAGGCATCCAGAAGGAGCCAGAACTCTGAGGGTTGGCAGCAGCCAGCTCAGGGCTCCAAGGAGCCCAAAGCTACTCCAGTCACAGCAGAGGCAGGGTCGAGGGCATCACAGCTTCTGTCAGACCCCACTGCTCATGGAGCAGGGGCTCTCAGGAGCGTGCCTGCCACTCAAGACTGCATGGGCACAGGCACTGGGTGGTCCTGAGCCTGCAGGAGGAAAGCCCATTGTGTGCGGAGCTAGGCGAGGTAGGGAGGGGCACTGCCTTTTGCTCAACAGTGAGCTTTAGGCCCCCCTGACGTGATGTGACAAAGGCAGTGGTGCAGAGTAGTTACAGCCCCCTGTAGTCAAACTGCCTGGGCATCTGTCCCACCTTGGGGACCCCTAGCAGGTTACCTGACCTCTCCAAGCCTCACTTCATCACCTTCAAAATGATGAAACTAATACAGATAGGTTCTTTGAAAGAAGGTACATAAAACCCAGTATCTGACATCATTGTACTCACAGCCATGGAGTCAACCTTCTTGAACAATTCTGATCATTCTATCATATTTCAACTGGAATTCACTCAATACCCATGTGGGGTCATGGAATAAGCCAGGTTGGGGGGCATGATCAGATGTCCATTTCGGAAAAACCTATAGGGTAACTGATTGGGAGGGTGGGTTAGATTGGGAGAGGCTGGAGGCAGCAGGACCAGTCAAGAGGTTACTGCCATGGTCCCAGCAGGAGACGATGAGGCCTGAACAAAGCCAGTGACAATACTTGTGTGTAACTGTATGTGATACTGAGTTCCCATGGAAGAGGAAGAGAGACAGACCGCCATAGAACTATATATCAGGTCCCATACAAGTATTGTCACTGCCAAATATTGGTGTGTACAGTCTTCAAAGCACCATGATATGGAGAGGACAAAGTTATCTCATACAAGATGCAGAGTACATATTCTCAAAATAACAGGAGTCTGCCATAGCCTTTGTCTGCCTCGGCGTAGCCAACCTGGACCTTCCGACATCTCACCAGTTGGGTGCCCAGCATTCCCTGGTCTTGGCTCTCAGAGTAAACCAATTGAACCTCCCCCCGCCCCCCGAAAAAAAGATCATGAATAACAAATTATTTCTAGCACAGCTCAGTGTTTTGTTTTGTTTCACTGTCTAGACGTTGCCTAAGAACAGTCTTGGAGGAAGAAGGCGTAAGATACCAGGCAGCTTGTAGAGGAACGAGGCAGAAGTTTTAGCTTAGCTGTTTCCTGTGCTGATTTAGGAATGGGCTATGAGTGGTAGAACTAATCAGGAAACATTTGTAATTTGTCTCGTGGAAGAGAGTAATGCAGACAGCAAGATTTCTTGTGAGGAAAGCGTTGGAAAGAGATGTCCAAACAATCGGAAACTGTGTGTTAAGACCTATGGCGTGTGGGTATCCTCTGAGCCAGACCCTGTGTTGGGCACTGGGACACTCATGTCTCTCCTCCCGGGAAGCTCCCATTCTGAGCACAGGTGGCCACTCACTCTGGTCATCCTCAGCTCGAGGACCGTGCCCTAAAATATCTAGTCAGTTGTCTCTTCCCCCTATCAGACTGTGAATCCAGATAGGGTCACTGAATTATAGGCTCTGAGACCTTGCGTGATCACTCTAAGCTTTAGTCTTCAGTCTATAAAATGGGTACAGTGATGTCTTCCTCACAGGGGTGTTGTGCAGAGAAGAAAAGAATAAATGACTCAAGCACAGTGAAGAGCCCTTCCTTCCAGAAAGACAGGGACAGCCAGGCTGGGTCAGGCATCAGGGCCAAAGCCTGTGGAGGCCAAGGGTGAGAAGCCAAGCCAAGCTGCACGTCTCTCCAGACCCCACTGGTCACCTTCTGCTCTCAGCACCTTTGCCCACTCCATCACCTGTGCTCACTGGTGTCTGCCAGGCTCCTTCCTGGTTGCTCGACATCCACCTCCCCCCCCGAACTTTCTACCTCTGATCTCTGACAGAAGCTGGAGAGACTTGAATTGGATCATGTCATCCTACTGGAAACCCTTCCAATGGTTGCCCTTTGCTCATGAATACTCCATATCCAAAGTCTCTTAGCCGCCTCTCCGTCTCATGTCCCACTGTGTTGTCTCTATAATGGTCTCCTCAAGGAAGCCGCACTGACTTTCCTTCAGGCCCTGGAGCTTTCCATGCTCACCTGCACCACAGGGCCTTTGCATGTTCTGTTCTTTCTATCAAAGTGTCCTTCCCTCCTGTCTTAGTTCTACTAATTCCACTTTTTTCTTTCAGTCTTAGCTCAGTCACCACTTCTTTAGGGAATTCTTCTGACCTTTTGAATTTGCTCATGGCCCCATTGTTCACTCCTAGAGCACAGGTGTGCCTTCTCCTTAGCCCTTATCATTGTTGCGACTTGGACGGCTACCTGTTGACTGCCTGACTCCCTCACAAAAACAGATGCTCTGTGACAACAGAACCATGACTGTCTTGCACTTCTGTGTCCCCAAACCTGCGATATGGTTGGTGCTCGGTGAATAGGAATTGGATATTGGAAAGTACAGATTCTCTGCAAGGCCCCAAAGGCCTTGAGCCATGAATCTCTCCCTTCTGGCTTCCCAAATAATATAAAGAACATCCAAAAAAGGATGGATGGAGGAAGGCCGGATCAAGATGACTTAGAACCATTCCAAGTACGTCTTCCAGTCAGGAAGAAGGTACTGAACCTGAATGAACAGAACAGAGGCCGGATCCCAGGCTGCAGGAAGAACAGTGAAGGGGGTTAGAGTTCCATCACTGGGGGAGCAGAAGGTGCTGCCAGCATCCCACCCACACCCCATGGCCTCACCGCCTCACTATGCAAGGACACCAGCTGGCGGTACCAGCACCCAGGGCCAGGATGAGGGTAAGGCGAGCGAGACACCTAGCCTGCAGCATGCAAGGAGGCGCCTCCCTGTCAGCTGTTGACGCTGCAGCTGCTCAACCCAGAGAGCAAGCTCCTCTGGAGAGTGACCAAGGTGACTCACTTGTTGCACCCTTGTCCTGGCCTGTCTGCGTCTCTTTGCCTGAGGACTTTCCCCAAAGCTGGGCAGGATGTCCCCTCCACGGACAAGGCGGTCTCTGCCTGGACCATGGAACAGCCCAGCTCCTGACCCTCCACCTAGGTGCTGTGTTTCACACCTTTTCCAGAATGGCCCGGGGAGTAGGTCACAGTTGCCCACAGTAGTAATGGCCTTGAAACTGGCCTTTCTGTGCTGCCTTCTCTTGGCTGTCTCCTTTGCCCTTTTTCCCCCTGGTGACCCTTCTCCTCCTATGTAAACTACTCACATTGGAATCCCTGTCTTACATTTTCTTCTGGGGAAACCCGGAGGGAGGCAGAGGGAATTCAAACACCTAAGGACACCACCTTGATGGGCTTAAATAAACCTGAATCTCCCTTCTAGTTTAAGAGTCAATAATTGTGCAATAAATCGGGGTGGAAGCAGGCCTATTCTGTGTATGGAGACACTGCCAAGGTAACCAGTGGATTCCAATGCTGCGCGGGACATACAGGGGAACCAAGAAAGAAAAACAAGAAGTCCTGGAACTGAAATGAGAAGGTGAAAGATAAACAACCCTGAGGAACAGGAAGTGTTCCTGCCCTTGTAGGTGTCTTTCCCAAAGGCAAGTCTGTCCTGGCTTGATAAATAGAAATATTCTTGGCACAAGAAGAAAACCGGATGTGATCAGCATCTTAAGGGACCCAGAGAGGCTAGAGTGGAGGACAAAGGCGCAGGCCAGGGAGAACCAAAAGATCAGAGGGAAGGAGGAGGCAGGGTACAGCCTGCAACTGAAACGTGAGAGAAAAACCTTGCCTACAGGAGCCCTTTCTTCCAAATGATTCTGTTTAGAATTTAGTAATAGAGACAGCGGGGTTTCCCTGGGACTGGAAATGGAAAGGAAGTGAAAGGGAAGGAAATGAATGGGGAAAACAGAACAAAGAGCTCTTTGCTTTTAAGTAGCCCTGGGCAGGGACTGTGGACAAGGGGACATTTCAAGAATACCAAAGCATTCCCCATGTGGAAGTTCTAGAGGGGGCTTCCTGGACCAGCCCCAGGAAATTACACCCAGGAGAGGAAGTGAACTCAGGGGCTGCAAATTTTACAAAATGAGGCTTCCCTTTGGAATCAGGCAGGGTCCCAGCAGGAAACAGATGGGTCCCTCAAATAGGGGCATCGAGGAGAATCCAATCATGTGAGTTTGTATCAAGGTGTGAGCCAGGTGTAGGGAGACCGCAGGGACAGTGCAGCACCCTGACGTGAAGTATACCAGCCCCAAGCCACAGAGGATTCGGTAGGGGGAGGTTGCCAGGACTTGGAGAAAGATGACCTGACCGGAGATGGGACATTTAGTGGTGTCCATGGGAGCAGAAGGAGGGAGAACTTTGATTGCACTCTCTTCTCTTCATCCAGTCTTCTGCCTGTGCTTTCTGTTGGCGAAACCCAGAGGAAGCCAGAGGACAAGGGAATGTGTAGACCCAGCCCAGTAGTTCTCAAAGTGTGGTCCCTGGGGCAGT